TTCTCCTTTGCAATACTAGTAAGTAATTTCCTGTCTCCATCCCTCTGTTCCCACTCAACTCTAAACTATGCACCCCTATTCCTTAACTGGACCACTTTGACAGCTCCTGACATCCTGTTCCTCTCTCTACACTACTTTCCATGCAGCAGCCAGGATCTCCTTGAAACATGTACACTGGATCATGGCACGCTTTTGCTTAAACCCCTTCAGTGGCTCTCCACTGCTCTTTGGGTCAAAGTTTGGTCCCTTACCCTGGGTCACAGGCCCTGAGAAGTCTGGCTTCTGACTTCTCTCTACCCTTAGCCTACATCATGTCCCCCTCACTAGAAGGGGCAGCCACACTGGCTATTTTCTGCAGGATGACATGATCCCTGCCTCCACTGGGACATGTTCTGCCCTTGATCTTCATTCGGCTGCCTTGGAGGCTGGCTCTCATTCTTTGCATCCCAGCTCAAATGTCACCTCCTCAGAGAGGCATTCCCTGACTGGCCTATCTAAAGGGGTCCTTCCCAGTTAGCTGTTCTCAACATTCTGTTAAATTTCCTTTGCACTTAATTTAAATTTACTTATTTTTTCCTCCACTAGAATATTAAGTTCTATTTTAAAAATATCTATTTTTATTGATTTCAGAGAGGAAGGTGAAGGGAGAGGGAGAGAGAGATAGAAACATCAATGATGAGAATCATTGATCGGCTGCCTCCTACACGCCCCACACTGGGGATCGAGCCTGAACCCCGGAAGGTGCCCTGACCAGGAATCAAACCGTGACCTCTAGGTTCATAAGTTGATGCTCAACTACCGAGCTATTCCGGCTGGGATAGAATGTTAAGTTCTTTACTATGGGGAATCTGTCTTTCTTATTCACTACTGCATTCTCCAGCACATAGCACGTTGCTTGATGATAGATAGTACTGTAAATCTCAATGAAGAGTTGTTGATCATTGTTTATAACAGTGAAAAATTGCAAGCAGCCTTATTGTTTACTAATAAGGTGTTCATCACAGAAATTATGATAGAATCATGTGATGGGAGATTATGTAATAAGGGGGAATATTTCATGGGAAGAAAAATGTTAATTCTATTTTTGTAAAACAAAGTGTCTATGTTAGATTTTTAAGAAATACTGCAAGGACCGGGGGGCGGTGAGTGCTTTTTCTTCCTTTCCTTTTTAAAAAACAATTTGTATTTAAACCTTTTCTACAATAAAACAATATTACTTTTACAATGACAAAGAAGTATTCTAAATGAAGTTATATTATAATGTGACATGGGGGGGGGGGGGGAAAACAATGGTGTTTGGGTAAACAGTTTTTGGAGATTGAGAATCTGAGTTGACTTCCTTTCTGGTTTCAGCTCTTGAAAGTATGAAGAATGATCCTGTGGAATCTATCCAGATTCTCGTGACTACTCTTCTTCAAAATATTGAGGAATATGTTAATCCTGAGGACAGCTCTACTTCCATTATAAGTACTCGCTTCTTCCGATTACGTGGCAGGAAAGCCCGAAAAAGAAAGAGGCACCTATTTAAGACTGTCAGACAGGAAGGAGATAATGATACTGATCGGCCCAGGAATTGGCTCCTAGGCCCTCTAAATTTACTGTGGAACTGGTGCAAGGGAGTGTAAAAAATACTCCCCTTATAATAGGCAACTTAGAAAAGTCAACACAGTCACAAGCACCAAAGTCTGAAAGTCCCCCTGAGGAAACTGAATTGATCCCAAAACAAGTTGCTCCTGAGTCACTGTGAACATTTAGAACTGGTGGCTAAAGCCTTTTCCAGTTGTTTATTCAGACGTCAGTGCTGGACTCTGCTGTAGTCTCTCCCACCTTTTTTCCAACTGGATGGGCGACTTTGATTTAACACCAAGTAATTTTGATCTTAGAAGGTATAGTATATTCCTTGTTCTTTATCTCCCCTAGGGTATTGTTAGCTATCAGTATATACATTTGTAAAATGTTATTTTCTTTTCATCCTAAACAAAATGGCTTCCATCCTAGTTTGGGGGGTTAGGGGGTAAACCTGAGTGACAGCAACAGCTCTGGAAGCAGTTCCTTCTACCTTCAGGCAAAGTTTCAAATGGCAAAAGGGAGGAGTAGGGTAGTAGAATCACAGGGTACCTAGTTTTCAATCTCTCCCTCACCTCTGCACAGGTTGCAGGAAATTCACATGTTTGACACATTTCCACGGGTGTATTCAGATTTCAGGTTAAAGCATAAAAGGCGGGCTGTGGTTTACATACAGTGGAGCAGCAATAACTCTAACTCTCACTGAGAAAGTACATCAGATTGCCACGAAAGTACATTATTGTTGAGATAACTTTGAATCCATTCTAATTTATTTTTTAAAAATTATTCTAGAACTTAGAGTTGGATCCTTGCTCCCTTTACCACAGACCAATTGTTACTGACTAGTTCGCTACACTATTTCAGTACTCCTGGTGCCTAATTTTTCATCTACAACATGGTATTATAATACCTCCTGGGTGTTGTCCTCCAGTATCCATCCTTCCCTTCTTCCCTGTTTTGTTTTGTTATAAACTGTGCATTTTTTTCCCAGAACAAAGCATATGTATCCCATCCTCCCTTGCAGCTAGGTGTAGCCATATAACTAAGTTCTGACCAAGTGGGTCTAAGGGCAAGTGGCATATGCAACTTCCAGGAAGTGTTCTTAAAGGCAGGGGCACATCCATTGTTGTACCACCAATCTTCCTGGTGACTAGAATGTAGACATGATTGGAACTAAGCATCTACCTTGGACCATCAGGAGGAAATGATATATTGGAAGTGATAGCAGAGCCAAAACATAGACAGAACCTAGATCAGTTATGAGAATAGATCTGTTTTCCAGTATCGATAGCTCACCCTGAAGACTGTGTTTATCTGGGGGATTGTGGTAGAGATAAAATTTTATCTATTTTAACCAATCTTGAGTTTTCTGTCACCACCAAACCCAATCCTGATGGATTTACTTAATCTTTCATCATTGCTATAAGGATTAAAAGAGATCATGAATATAAAAAGCTTAGCAGTTTGTCTGGCATGAAGGAAGAAGTCATGAAACAGGTTATTGGAACTTAGTTCTGAGAACTTTGAAAGGGGTGAAAAGACCAGAGAACTAGTTCCCACTTTAGTCAAATTGAATAATTTTACTTCTTTGAAGTTAGCAGTGATCAGAATGATTTTGATTGCTTCTAAATTTTATGAACTTTTAGATAAAATCTTTTTGAAACTTGGTTTCCTCATATAAAAATGAGAATATTTAAACTTTCTTCATGGGCTTTACAGAATTAAACAAAATGGTGCGATAGACTAGATATATCTAAGTGCTAAATAAATGGCTATAGCTATTACCCAGGTGTGATGGTTAATTTTATATGTCAACTTGGCTGGGCCATGGTGCCAAGATATTTGATCAAACATTATTCTAAACTAGAGGCCCGGTGCACAAAAATTTGTGCACTTGGGTGTGGAGGGGGTCCCTCAGCCCAGCCTGCGCCCATTTACAGTCCAGGACCCCTTGGGGGATGTCCACCTGTTGTCTTAGGCCCACTCCCCGGGGGATCAGGCCTAAGCTTGAAGTCAGACATCCTTCTGGCAGCCAGGGAGTCCTCAGGGGATGTCCGACTAAAGGCTTAGGCCCCCAAGGGATCCTGCCTAAACCGTTAGTTGGACATTCTTAGTGCTGCCATGGAAGTGGGAGAGGCTCCTGACACCACCTCTGCGCTGGCCAGCCATGAGCCAGCTTCTGGCTGAGTGGCACTCCCCATATGGAAATGCACTGACCACCAGGGTGCAGCTCCTGCATTGAGCATCTCCCCCCTGGTGGCCAGTGTGCATCATAACAACCGGCCATTCTGGTGTTCAGTCAATTTGCATATTAGCCTTTTATTATTATTATATAGGATATCCCTATTTCCCCCCTTTTGCCCCCTCTACCCAGCTCTTGCCCCCCACTTCTCTCTGGCCATCACCATCTAGAAGCAATTAGGAGATTTTTCATGTAATGCAGATACATTTCAATTAATATTTTATTAATTTTTAATTTTTTAATATTTTAATTTGAAATAATCTCATACATGTAAAAAAAACTATAAAATACTACAGCATATTATATGTACCCTTCACCCAATTTCTTAGGTGTTAATAATTTAAACATAACCATTATACAACTAACAAAATTTGGAATATATTTTTCTTATAATCTCTTTAATGTTACTTAATCCATTTACTTTGTTTTTGTTAATCTTCACCCAAGGATATTTTTCCATTGAATTTTAGAGAGAGTGAAGGGAAAGGGAGAGACACATTGATTGGTTGCCTCCTGCACATGCTCTGATAGGGACTGGGGATCAAGCCAGCAACTGAGGTACATGCCCTTGACTGGAATCGAACCTGGGACCCTTCAGTCCACGGGCTAATGCTCTATCCACTGAGCAAAACAGGCTGCAGCTTAATTCATTTACTTTTAATCTATATGTGTCTTTATATTTAAAGTGGGTTTTGTTTTTGATTCACCCTCATAATCTTTCTTTTAATTGGTGCATTTATGCCACTGACTTTCAGAGTGCTTACTGATAGAGTTACTGCCATATCAGGTGGCTTCTGGGGCTTCTGGGGCCAGCCAGTGGCCTGGGACCAGATCCAATCATGGGCGGCAGGCAGCTGGCTTCTGGGGCTTCCCGGGCCAGCCTGCGGCCCAGACCGGATCTGATCACGAGCGGCAGGCAGGCGGCTTCTGGGGTCCGCCACGGGGGCCTGGATGGCGAATCACGCTGGCGGCTCGCGCTGTCCTGCCCTGCCTGCAGTATGCAAATTAGCCGCCATCTTAGTTGGCGGTTAATTCGCATATCTCGCTGATTAGCCAATGGGAGGCGTAATGAAGGTACAGTCAATTACCATGTTTGTCTATTATTAGACAGGATGTTTCTGTGAGGGTGTTGTTGGATCAGATTAACACTTAAATCAGTGGACTTTCAGTAGAGCAGACTATGTATACTAATAAAGCCTAGGCGGCCTTTGTGCACAACATTGTCACCACACGATGGCCGCCACACAATGGCTGCCACACAATGACCACCACACGATGGCCTCCACACGATGGCTGCCACATGATGGCTGCCACAAAATGGCCTTATGCACAGCAAAGGTGGGGCCTGGCAGCCGCTCTGCACAATAACACCTGGGGGCCCCATGGCTCTGCACAGCACAGAGGAGGCCAGTCTCAAAGTCTCTGCTGCCAAGCACCGAGGAGTTGGGTCGCAGCAGTTGTGGGTGATAGGGCTGGCAGGGGAGGGCAGTTGGGCCAATTGGGCTGGCAGGGGAGGGCAGTTGGGAGCAAACTGGCCAGCAGGGGTGCAGTTAGGTGTCAATCAGGCCAGCAGGGTAGTGATTAGGGGGCGATCAGTCTGGCAGGCAGGCCAGTGGTTAGGAGCCACCAGTCCCACATTGTGAGAAGGATGTCTGACTGCTGGACATCCCCCAAAGGGGTGCCAAATTGGAGAGGGTGCAGGCCAGGCTGAGGGACAACCCCGGCCCCCATGCATGTATTTGGTGCACCGGGCCACACATTCTATATAACTTGAGTGGGCCTCATTCAGTTGGTTGAAGGCCTGAACAGAACAAAGACTGATCTCCCCAGAGCAAGAGGAGATTCTACCAGCAGAAAGCCTTTGCACTTGAACTGCAACTGTTCCTGGAATCTCCAGCCTGCCAATCTACCCCATCAGATTTTGGACTCACCAAGCTCCATAATTGTGTGAGCCAATTACTTAAAAGAAATCTCTCAGGATATAGTATATCCTATTGGTTCAGTTCCTCTGAAAAACCTTAACTAATGCATATGATGTCCTCAAGGTTCATCCATGCTCTAGTATGGGTGAGAATTTCCTTCAATTTTAACGCTCTTGCAGATACATTTTCATTCATTCATTCATCCATTGATGGACACTTGGATTGCGTCCACCTTTCAGCTATTGTGGATAATATGTCTAAAAGCAGGGAGATTTAAAAATCTGCTCAAGTCTCTGCTTTCATATCTTTTGAGTATATTCCCAGAAGTGGGATTGCTGCATCATATGGTAATTCTATTCTCAATTTTTTGAGGAACTGCCATGCTGTTTTCCATAGTGGCTGCACCATTTTACATTCCCACCAGCAGACACAAGAGCTCCAATTTCTCCACATCCTTGCTAACCCTTGTTTTCCTTCCTCTCCTTCCTACAGTCCCTCCCTCCTTTCCTCCCTTCTTTCTTTCCTTCCTTCCTTCCTTCCTTCCTTCCTTCCTTCCTTCCTTCCTTCCTTCCTTCCTTCCTTCCTTCCTTCCTTCCTTCCTTCCTTCCTTCCTTCCTTCCTTCCTTCCTTCCTTCCTTCCTTCCTTCCTTCCTTCCTTCCTTCCTTCCTTCCTTCCTTCCTTCCTTCCTTCCTTCCTTCCTTCCTTCCTTCCTTCCTTCCTTCCTTCCTTCCTTCCTTCCTTCCTTCCTTCCTTCCTTCCTTCCTTCCTTCCTTCCTTCCTTCCTTCCTTCCTTCCTTCCTTCCTTCCTTCCTTCCTTCCTTCCTTCCTTCCTTCCTTCCTTCCTTCCTTCCTTCCTTCCTTCCTTCCTTCCTTCCTTCCTTCCTTCCTTCCTTCCTTCCTTCCTTCCTTCCTTCCTTCCTTCCTTCCTTCCTTCCTTCCTTCCTTCCTTCCTTCCTTCCTTCCTTCCTTCCTTCCTTCCTTCCTTCCTTCCTTCCTTCCTTCCTTCCTTCCTTCCTTCCTTCCTTCCTTCCTTCCTTCCTTCCTTCCTTCCTTCCTTCCTTCCTTCCTTCCTTCCTTCCTTCCTTCCTTCCCTCCCTCTCCTCCGTCCTTGG